AGCTGTAACACCAGAGATGATGCAAGACGGTGAGAAGTGGCAGAGAAATGTCGGCAGGAGACCAGCACAAGATGGTGCAGTGGGCTTTCCCACTTGCCCATGGAGCAAGGCAGTTAATGGTGGGTGTGTCAGCTCATGGAGGAGATTGCTGAGTGACTTCAGGCAGAAGGCTTCTTGGTGGAGTGGGTTGCCTCTAGGCACTTGTCAGCATAGCTAAAGAGCTTTGTAACGCTTGCCTGAGCTGGGCACAGACTAGGTAGAGGGGCCAAGGGCCAAAGAGAGGCCTGCCTGTGGGCACAGCTGAGAAGAGTCTGTCCTGATCAAAGAACTGTATCCTGAGTTGCTCCCAATCCTGAATTATAACCTATTACTTCCCTAATAAACCCCATAACTATGTGAGTATGATCTGTGAGTTCTGCTGGTCACTACAACAAAGTATCAAACCCATCAGAGAAAGTAGAGAGTGCTGTGGGAGGCGTGGCTGGTGTCAGAACTGGTAAAAAGGTTGGAGAAAACAGGTATATCTGTTATCAAACAGCCTTAGGCTGTTGATGGTGATGATTCTCCTCCCCACTTTTGAAGTTAGAGGAGGAGATTGGTCGAGATGACCCATTTTCACACCTAGGATTTCTTTTCTTGTCTTTTTTTTTTTTTTTTTTTTGGTGTGGCTTAATGCATTTGTTTTGTGTTTTGTTTTTTTAGTTGTGATTTGGGTGAAAGTTTACGGAGCACATTGATTTTTAACAATTCATATACACGCAGGTTTTCAATGGTGGATTCTTTGGAAGTAGATCACCAAGCTTCATTCAAGGGGCCTCTGGATGGACTTGAACTTCCAACCTTTCAGTTAGCTGCCAAGCAACTTAACCATTTGTTCTACCCGAGGACTCCAGATCATATGATAGGTGTATGTTTAACTTTTTAGAAACTGCCAAACTGTTGTCCAAAGTACTTATCGCCTACTTTGTTTCACAGCACACTGAAGATAACTGCAGTTTTTTTTTTTTTTTTTTTTTTAACATTGAAGGTTCTGGCAACCCTGTGTCAGACTTGAGTGTTAACTCCATTCTTCCAACAGCATGTGCTCACTTCACATCTCTGTGTCACATTTTGGTAATTCTCATGTGTGTTAAACTTTTTCATAATGCTG